TAGTCACCAATCATTAGCCAAGAGCATTGGACACCGCCCGAAATCAGCCCTGTGCGAATATAGTGTATATTGATGGGCACACTATCTGGCCCAACCAAACGGCCTGATATTTAGCAGAAGGATCGAGATGCCTTGGCTCTTGCAGTGTACATACGTATGTTTCTGAATCGTGGGGAGTCTGCCTCACCCGCTGGTAGAGCTCTTGCCGGCCAAAAGTCGCTCTCAGCACGGATTCTCATCCTGAAATGTTCAAGCGGAGTGAGGAATCGTTTGGCAGGGTCTTTTTAAAACATGGCTACGTGTTGTTCTGACAATTTTCTGACGCATTTATTCTGAAATGGCATTTGCGTGAACTTTTTTACAAAATACCTAGGTTTCATTAGTCGAAAGCATTATCAAACAACTTTTTATATTTGCTTTACCTTCGAATTGTGTGGAGAGTAGTGGTGTCAATCGGAACTTGAATCTTCGGAATTCCGATGTTGTCCAATGTCCAATTCGGAATTCGGTTGGACAATGACAGCAGGTTTTGGACAACTTTGGACAATCGCTTCCTACACCTCAACATTTTTATAAAGTAATCAAGTTTAACATTGATTGGCTATTAGAAAGCTCAGCTTTCGATATGAATACCACTTTTAAGCTGGTAACGATACATTAAAACCAAATTAAATAACGGTGTTGTGTGTAAACTATTGCGTAGATGTCGGACATCTTTGGACAAATGGCTGGATTGGACATTTTTGGACGGACAGTCGACGTAAGTATTGGACATTGGACGGACATTGGACATATGTTTTCTGAAATGGACATCACTAGTGGAGAGTCAGCTCTCACCATTGCGTGATGCGTAACACGTAATAACAAATGTATGACATCCAACTGAACATAGCTCGGAAGTGAGATGAGACCTTTCACCAGCATCAGGGACCACCATTCTTCCCTACTCTCGGTAGCTCCACGAGTCGCGCCCAATCAACGCTCCAAGGCGTTCAGTCGGCTGACGGGCAGGTGTGGCCGGGCGTGTCACCACTCCGTGACCCACATGGAACCACAGCTGTCGACTGGGCCCGGTCAGAACGGCAGGTGCCAACTCCAGGGTGACCAGTGACCACTGACCATGCCCGACCCGGCGCGTGTCCCGGGCGTCAGAGGACCGTTTTAACATTCGGGAAGAGCTGTGACATCATCCAGCTGCGTAAAACCAGTCGTAGTGGTATCTGGAGGGAACAAATGAAAGGACTGGTGGTTTGATGGAGAGCTGAGAATTTGTCGACAGACGATATTTTCTTTGCTAGCCTGTTCATTTAACAACTGTTTTACAATAACATATTTTATTACGCATATCACAAGATATCGGTAGGGATGCCAGGGATTACATATTTTCGATATAATGCTTATTTAGAATCCAATAAGTAAGGATTATCTTAGCAGCCACAGATCCAAGCAAGTTTTAACCCGCGCCCCGTTGGGCTCTGCCGAGCAACGCGCCCCGTTGGGGGGGGGGGGCATTTTGGCCCCCCCCCTAAGATCTCGAGAACCACGCAACCTAGCGGCAAGCGGCAAACGGTGTTGGATAGCCCTATCATGGAACTACCTTGTGACCCAATTTTATTGACCTAGGTCAAACCGATGACGTCACAGGTCAGGTCAAAGGTCCAATTTTCACCGTTTACAGGCATTTCAAGAAATGCGTTGTAAAATCGAGTAAAATGCATTTCATTGAAAATCGTTGATGGGGAAATGTTCTTCAAACACATATTTTGCTATTTGAGGTCACTGATACCAGGTCAGGTCACAGAGGTCAGGTCACGGGGGGTCACAATATGAAAGTGTCGTGTGATACATGTTTTATGGTCCATTTTACATGACGAATGCGATTATGTGGGTCAGGCAGCCTTGGGGGCCAGCTTAGGTCACGTTTTGGTCAAGGTCAGGTCAAGGTCAGGTCAAGGTCAGGTCAAGGTCAGGTCAAGGTCAGGTCAAATTAGGTCAAATTTCAAAGTTAATATTTTTGCATAAATGGATAATGAATCGATGCAGCTCGTCACGGGGAGTTCAATGGTGGTCTTTGTTTTGCCGTGCGTGGTCTAGAATCGCTAAAAATTGAGTTCAAAAATTTGACGTCATCATTTTTGAACAGTTTTTTCGCTATAACTTGGCCAAAAAACGAGATATCGATCTGAAATTTGGTATGTATATAGAAGAGCGCCGGGACTATCACATATATTCCGGTTTTTTCGAAATTCAGAAAAATTTTGGATTTTTTTTAGTTTTTCTAAAAAAATCAATTTTTTGAATTTTTGGGGTCAAAAACCCAAAATTTTGAAAATCCGAGATAGCAGTTTTATAGCGCCGCTTTTTGTCTACTAGACCATATAAAGAACTTTCAAATTGCTTGATAACTGTAGATTTAGTGAGCGTTTCAAGATTGCATGTTTTTTGCTCATTTTTGCTCGAACATGACCTCAGTTTGACCTCAATAACTCCTGACCTAAGGTGACCTAAGACTTGAAATTTGATGTGAAGGTGTCAAATTGATGCCCGGGAAGGTACTGAAAATTTGGCGGCGCTGCGTGCCGCCGTTTTCCTTGCTATTCAGGAAAAACCACAGGGGGGAGGGCCAAAATGGCCCCCCCCAACGGGGCGAGGGTTAACCCGCGCCCAGATGGGGTCTGCCGAGCGACGCGGTCTGATGGGGGGGGGGGGCATTTTGGCCCCCCCCCCTCAGATCTCGAGAACCACGCAACATAGCGACAAGCGGTAAACGGTGTTGGATAGCCCCAACGGGGAACTACCTTGTGACCCAATTTCATTGACCTCGGTCAAACCGATGACGTCACAGGTCAGGTCAAAGGTCGAATTTTCACCGTTTACAGGCATTTCAAGAAATGCGTTGTAAAATCGAGTAAAATGCATTTCATTGAAAATCATCGATGGGGAAATGTTCTTCAAACACATATTTTGCTATTTGAGGTCACTGATACCAGGTCAGGTCACAGAGCTCAGGTCACTGGGGGGTCACAATATGAAAGTGTCGTGTGATACATGTTTTATGGTCCATTTTACATGACAAATGCGATTATGTGGGTCAGACAGACTTTAGGGCCAGCTTAGGTCACGTTTTGGTCAAGGTCAGGTCAAGGTCAGGTCAAATTAGGTCAAATTTCAAAGTTGATATTTTTGCATAAAATGGGTATCAGTTCGATGCAGCTTGTCATGGGGAGTTCAATGGTGGTCTCCGTTTTGGGCTACGAGGTCTAGAATTGCTAAAAATTGGGTTCAAAAATTTGACGTCATCAATTTTTAACAGTTTTTTCGCTATAACTTGGCCAAAAAAGAGGTATCGATCTAAAATTTGGTATGTATATCGAATAGCGTAGCGACTATCACATATATTCCGGTTTTTTCGAAATTCGAAAAATTTGTGGAATTTTTTGAGTTTTTCTAAAAAAATCATTTTTTTTTATTTTTGGGGGTCAAAATCCCAAAATTTCGAAAATCCGAGATAGCAGTTTTGTAGCGCCGTCTTTTCTCTACACAACCACATAAAGAACTTTAAAATTGCTTGTTAACTGTAGAATTGGTGAGCGTTTCAAGATGTCATGTTTTTTGCTCATTTTTACTCGAACATGACCTCAGTTTGGCCTCAATAACTCCTGACCTGAGGTGACCTGTGACTTGAAATTTTGTGTGAAGGTGTCAAATTGATGCCCGGTAAGGTACCCAAAATTTGGCGCAGCGCCGCCGTTTTCTCGCTATTTAAGAAAAACCACAGGGGGGCCAAAATGGACCCCCCATCAGGGCGCAGGTTAATACTCGGTGGGCTTGCCGGAGTGATTTGAATTTTTGTTGGTTTGCCCGGGGCGGGCGATCAAACTTGCTACTTTTCTCAGGTCAGTGGATTCGGGATTGCAGCGACGAGCATTGGATCGAATTTTACTATCCGCACCCACCAGTCAGAGGTGCAGTTTAAATGTCCTGTCAGACACACGACTTAAAATGTCCTCTCTGACCGGTTAGAGGTGCGCTTTAAATGTCCCCTGTGACCGGTCAGAGGTGCGGTTTAAATGTCCGATATCGCAATCGTCAGCTCGTCTCACGGGGGCAGGTGGTGTCCTGCTGACACTGTTATCACACCCGTCCATCTCGGGCGGGATCTCGGCGGCACGCGAGCGCCGCCGTGCCGGGCGTACCAAGAGAATCGGCCGAGAGAGAGAGAGAGAGGGGAGAGAGGGAAAGAGAGGGAGAGGTAGAGAGAGAGAGAGAGAGAGAGAAAGAGAGAGAGAGAGAGAGAGACGGAGAGAGAGGGAAAGAGAGAGAGAGAAGAGAGATAATGATAGGAGAGAGAGGGAGAGAGAGAGAGAGATAAAGATAGGAGAGAGAGGGAGAGGGAGAGAGAAAGATAGGAGAGAGAGAGAGAGAGAGAGAGAGAGAGAGAGAGAGAGAGAGAGAGAGAGAGGGAGAGAGAGAGAGAGAGAGAGAGAGAGAGAGAGAGAGAGAGAGAGAGAGAGAGAGAGAGAGAGAGAGAGAGAGAGAGAGAGAGAGAGAGAGAGAGAGAGAGAGAGAGACCAACCCAGCCCAGCCCAGCCCAGGAGCACCGAGCCACCGAGAAGGAAGCCAGGTTCGGCTGATGAGGTGGCTTAGCCCGGGAAGACTGAGAAGGGCAACCCGGCCTAGCCTGACCGAGAATGGCAGCCCGATCCAAACGGGAATGGCAGCCCGATCCAAACGGGAATGGCAGCTCGATTCGGACGAATACAAGGAACTGCAGCAAATTGCAAGGAACTAGGAGCGGATATGTCGTTTTTTGTATCCGTTACTGTCGGTCGCAATTGGTAGCAGCACAATTGAGCAAAGCTATGTCGATAACACAAATGTCGATGAAGGCTATTGCCACCTCCCGTATCGCCATTAGCAACATTGCTACTTTCTTGCCGGATGCTGTTTGCGTGTTAACAGATACAAGTAAAAAGAATATGAACTAGTCTAATTCTACC